ATTCCAGGCGGAAGTGGGGTTTCCGCCTGAAATTTCCGGAAAATCCCCAGGACTTCCAGAATTTCTGGGCAGAAGTCCAGTTTCCAGGTTTTTTTTTTATTTTTTTTTTATTTATATGTTATTCCCCTTTTTTTCCTGTTTTTCCCTTTTTTTTTTGTTTTTTGTGTTTTTCTGTTTCCCCCCCCCCTTTTTTTATTATTTTTTTTTTTGTTTTTCCTTTGTTTTTTAATTTATGTTTTTCTAATTTTATTTTTTTTGTCCTCGATTTTGTTGATTTGGTGCATGTTTTAATTTGAAAATATTTGTGTCCTTCATTTTTTTTTTTTTTTTTTTGAAGTAATTTGTGTCCTTCATTTGTGGCTTTAAAATAATTTTTTTCTTGATTTAGTTTTGCAATAGTTATTGATATGTAATTTTTGTTGATTTAGTTTTACAATAATTATAGTTTAGCAATAATTCTTGATTTTATTTTAATATGTTTGTTGTTGCTATGTATTGTTATTGTTATGTAAATTTGGTTTGGTTTGTATTGGTTTTTGCTGCTGTTGTTGTTATGTATTATGGCTGTTTACTTAAATTGTTGTTATTGTTATTGTAATTGTTTTTTTTATTGGGTTGTCGTTGTTGCGTTTAAATTTTGGCAGTTTTGTGGTTAATTATAATTTTGATTTGGTCTGTTATTGTGTTGAAATTATTTGTAGTGTGTTAGTGTGTTGTTATTGTTAGTAGTGTATTAGTATTGTTAGTATTGTTAGTCTGCTAGTGTGTCGTTGTTGTTAGTAGTATTATTTGTAATTTTGTTATTATTGTTTATTTGATTTGATTTATTATAGTTTTGATTTGATTTTTTTGACTATGAATTATTATTGAAATATGATTCTGTACTTATTTTTTTAATGCAGATTGAGGGTTCTGGTCCTCGTCATGCAAGATCAAGACGTTTGAATGCGTCTGTTAGGAGGGAGTTAGGTGGTGCAGGACCTTCACATGCACCGTTTCAGCATGAGCAGCAGTATGGGACTGCTGGTGCTTGGTCGGGGGAGCACCAGTCACAGGGGAGCGCCCCCATGTATTCGTCTACTGGAGTGCCTTCATCAGATCGGGAGGAGGATGAAGATGGAGGAAGTCAATCTACTGGAGATGCACAGTACGACCCTCAGGATTACCGTACTGTGTATAGGGGTGACCATGGGAGATATGTTAGCAGTAGTGAACCAGGTCAAGCTTCTACCAGCAAGTCAGAGTCATGGTTGGTGCAGGAGCCGATGTCAGGTGGGCTTGAGGATGGTACCGTTATTCCGAGTTTTGGGGGTCACGTGTCTGCCTACATATGGGGTGGGCAGGAGCGAAACGTGCTGCGGTGTTTGAGCAGGACACAGTTGTGTTCTGAATTGGGTAACTGGCGCGCTCGTCTTCCGCCGGAGCACCTGGAACCGATTGATGGCACTGGTCTATCTCATTTACCCGGGATCATGTTCCGGCGGTTTGACTGGCCCTTAATTTCTGCTTTTGTTGAGAGATGGCAGCCAGACACGAACACGTTTCACATGCCTTTTGGGGAGATCACGATCATGCTGCATGATGTGTATCATATTCTAGGGCTTCGTGTCGACGGTTCCATGGTTTCCACTACTCCTAGCACGGACGTTTTACGGGACGCGTGCTCGGTTACCTTGGATATGACTGAGGAAGAGCTGAATGAGAAGTGCGGTACCAAAACCGTATGGCAGGGTAGTAGGGTCCTGACTGAGAGGATAGTGGAGTCGACCTTGGAGGCGCAGAGGCCCTTCAGTTTCCATTACAGGGCGTACCTGTGGTTAGTACTCGGCGGTTGTTTGTTTTTGGACAAGAGTGGAAACCGTACTCATCCTTCCTTCCTCAACGAGCTGTTTTTTGAGGATGTTCAGATTAGTGAGTACTCCTGGGGTTCTGCTGTGCTAGCATACATGTACCGGCAATTGGGTACAGCATCACGAAGAGATGCTGATTCTATCGCTGGCTGCCTTACGCTTCTGCAGGCGTGGATCTACGAGTACTTTCCGTGTTTCCGGCCTCAGCAGGGGACCTTGACCAGAGAGCTTGCTATTCCTCGTGCGTCCGCCTGGGATGTCTGATGTTTGGATGATCAGCAGGAAATTGCTCCGCAATAGTTGCCATGATGTTACGCGGTGCAACCTTAGACTTCGTCATGTCACGCACAACCTGCTTCGCATTCGGGCTCAACCCACTAATTTTACGATGACCCTCTGGATACGCAATCATTGGATGGTTGTGGGTCCCAGTTACATCATCTTTCGCCCGGATAAACCAAGTATTGGTGACGAACTCGTAACATATCTTGATGTAGAAAGGACAACCAATGCCCTTGGTTTTGGTGTCCTTCCGAATTGCGTTCTCAAGATCTCTCGGCTTACTCCTGCGTCCTCGGTCTCATCTTAAATATCGAACTGGTCGACCATCCCTCTGTTTGTTGAAAGACGATTTCACCAAAATAAATCCCAGATTTATTGCAACAGCATCCGCCCATGTAAATGCATCGTCAAACGTTAGAAAAATTGTGTCTGTCACAAAATGTGCACTGTAATTCACAACGTCACCGTCGTCTTCAACCTCCGAATCCTATCAAAATAACAACACAAATAAATAAAACACGCAAGAATTAGTATTTTAAATTTAACAATAATAATAACAATAATAATACAAATAATCATAATAATAATAAAAATAACAATAATAACAATAATAATATTAATAGTATTAATAGTAGTAATAATAATAATAATAATAATAACAATAATAATACTAATGATAATAATAATAACAATAACAATAACAATAATAATACTAATAATAATAACAACAATAACTACGTAATATTAACATATAATAACTAATATAATAATAATAACAACAATAGTAATAATAATAGTAGTAATAATATTAATAATAATCATAATCATAACAAAAATTTACAAAATTAACAAAACTAATATTAATAACCATAATAATAATAATAATAATAATAATAATAATAATAATAATAATAATAATAACAACAACAACAATAACAATTACGTAAGAAAAAAAGAAAAAAAAAGGGACATCCGCCTATTTTTTCCGGAATTCTGGGGGAGATCCGCCCAAAATTTCCGGATGTCCCCACATACATCCGGAAATTTCAGGCGGATGTACCCATCCGGATGAAATTTCCGGATGTCATGGGGGACATCTGGAAATTTTGGTCGGATCTCCCCCATGTTTCCGGAAATAAAAGGCGGATGTTTATTTACATAAAAAAAAAATTTCCGAAATACTTACAGATTCTTCCGTCGAATCCTCCGGCGTGTGAACGTTGTCGTCGTCCATCGTAAAACACCACTCCGTACACTTTTCTTTTATGCCCCGGGATTTTTAAATTCCTCGGGATTACCGTACAATGGTGGAACCGAGATTTTTTAATGCTCGGGATTTTTTTAACACAAGTGGTGGGGTCGGTAATGTTTTTATGTTGTCGGTAAATAAATTTACCCATGGTGGACCTTTAAATAGGTAAAATACCCACAAGGGCAAAAATGTAATTTCAATTAAAAATGTGAACGTCACCCAGTAATTTGCGAACGACGAATAGCGATTCAGCTTTAAGAATCATATGTTCAAATTTCCCCAACTACATATACTTGAAATAGTAGATTTCATTATTTTCCCCTCTACTTTGAAAAATTACCCGTCTACTTCAATTGATTTTTCATTCCAAGTATATACTTGTATATACTTTTTAGTACTTAATTTTACAACTTTACTTGATCCACTTATAGAAATTGGATTGAGCAAAGCTCCTTTGATTCATAGGTTGCCTAGGCTGGTATAAATTCGGCCATGCAGGCCAACTTTTGCGGCCCAATTTCAACAAAATAGCTGCAAAATCTATGTCATTAACAACTTAAAAAGAGGATATTGGAGTGGAGGGACCGTCCCTCCATCTCCCCCAGGAATGATCCACCCCTCCTATAATAGGAGAGGCACCCCCCTATCTTACCGTTTAAAAAAAAACAAAAAAACCCTTAACAAGATGTTCTTAATTGAAGGAAAATCAATGACTTGTATGATTCTATTACACATTTTTTTATCATTGTGTGTGGGGGAGGGGGGCATTGGTGAAACGATAGGATTATTGCTAGGCCCCTCTACTAGCTCGAATAACTAGATTATGGGCCCTGGTTACTACGGTAGCAAAAACAAATTAAGCTATACAGGAAATGTCTAACTCATACAAAGTATGTTTCTTCTTTCTTATCTTCGTATTTATGGTGCCATAAATTTCAAGATCATATCATGATGCTTGCATTACATATAATATTTGCTTATTTTAAGTAATTTGAATGTTTTTATACCATTGTAGTAAACTATTAATCAATTTTTTATTTTAATGATATATGAAGTACTTCGTATTTGATGATTAGTAGTTCATCATACTCGTATCTCCTAATTTTGAACCGATATATTATTGTACTTGTATATGATCTTATGTAACATAGGTTATCTAACTTCCACAATAAAACACAACCATCAAACAACTCATAAGGACAGGGTCATAGTTTAGTAGTTTACAATTGCCACTAGACTTATCCACGAGCCCAATTGAAATGAATTGATCCAAGCTCTCCTCAATTTGACATAGTTTTACCTAGCTAAAATTTCACTTGAAAGTCTCTCCCTCTCTCAATCTTAGGTTGAACATATATTCCACTTAATAAAACAATAAAGTGAAGGTTCCTTCAATTCAAATTTTAGCATTTTGCACAAATTTAAACAATGATACTTCGTATACATATTCTCAAGGTGGAGCGTGTGCCTTAATTGTCTTTATAGACTCTACACACAAGTAAGACACATACACTCGTCACACAATCATACCGACCATCAATTCCACAATACTGTATAATTCTATAACCGAACTAAAAAATTAGTATGCATCATGTCACTCGTCCATCCATTCATCCATCAAAAGAAACTAATCATTGATAATTAAAAATCAAAATTAGATAGATTCACACAATTAGTACAATTAGTCAATTACAAATTAACTTTACGTACTCCCTCAAAAATTTTAGACAATCCTCAAACATTTACGGATCTCTTTTAATTTAATTTTACATTCCTAAATTTTCTCTCTCCATTTTACGCGCAATCCACCCACTAAACCCCACCTTTTCAAGAGTCAAGATCCCATCTTTGATCTTTTCATTAATTTAATCGAACACATTCTCTTCACCTCCCCCTATAAATCCTCGTTTTTGTCAGATCTTTCATCATTTCATCCTCTTTCTATTTTTCTCATGTAATAATTCTAATTCTCTCTGTTTTTTATATTAAAATTTATTGTAATTATCATCCATTTTCATCAATGATCATAGTTGAATTACTTTATTGATCTTGCTATTTTGATCAACATTGATTTTATTTCATTTGAATTTTGTGTTGGAATTTTGATTTTGTGGGATTTGATTGGATTTTTCTGATGAATTAGATGATGGGGTTGATGAATTTTTGCAGATCATGAAAAACTAATTTGATTTTGGTTTTGATTTCAGTTGGACTTGAAAAAAAAGGTGGAAAATGGAGCAGATTTTAATGCATGGTACTTTACATGTTACGATTTTTGATGCTCAGGATCTTCACCATGGTAGCGAACCTGGTGTATTCCGCAAGGTCTTTCTCTCTCCTCTATATATAATCTACTTTATATTTTTTTGGCCTAAGGGTAATAATGTAGACCAGAATTGATCCCGAGTATTGGGTACCACCCGTCACGACTTTAATTTTTTATCCACTCCTCTATTTGTTGTTCAATATATATATATATATATATATATATATATATATATATATATATATATATATATATATATATATATATATATATATATATATATATATATATATATATTTTGATGAATTGGGAATTTGTGGTGTGTTTTTAATTTGGCCATCCAGATTTTATTTATTTATTTTTAATTTTTGTGATTCTGTGACTGTGATTAAATCTGAAGTTATTAAAGTTACAGTTGATGAAAAGATGTAAAATTAAAAAGGGGTCAACTTTTAGGCCCCATCATCCCTTGAGAGGAAGGTATCTGAAACTTCAAAGAATCTCCCATTAAATGTGCTTTTGAGGTTTTAAGTTGTCCTTGTATTAGAATCATGCTTTTTGTAAGGAAAAAGTGATAAAAAAAATTTAATCAATGCAAATATTTGGAAAATTGTTGATGGGATTTGTAGATGTAGTTGAATTTTGGCAAATAATGTAAAAAACATCAATAGAATATTTTTTGGCATCTGGATCTTGGGGTTGAAAGGTGAATGGTAGCTAAATAAAATTGGGTGATAAATTGAAATATGTAAAATGTTTGGCTTTTTTAAAGAAATTTTGATGGGTGTAAAAATCTTTAACCATCAACACTTGTTTGGTGGGTGCAAGGGCATTAAAATGGGGAGGAGTATGGAGAGATACATAGTGCCAAGAGATTACCTGAGGACGTCTTTTTGTTGTCAAGTTTAGTCTTTGTGTATTCTCATTTGGATGTTACATAATAGGGACTGCGTAATTAAACTGGAAAACATGCAGCTTTCGAAATACGGTGAATTATACTCGATAAAAAGATGTCATATGTTTATCTCAAACTGACATGGCATGTTCCAACTCTTTTAAGGCTTTGTAACAGTAAAATGCAAATAATTGTGTTTGACCATCTGATTTATTTTAGCACATAGAGATTGCTATAAAGGATAGATTGATGCATTGTAGTTCTTCCAATCCAGCCATGCTTGATACGCTGGTACTCTCTTTTATTTATATCCTTCATTATTTACGTTTTTACACCCATCACCATCAGCCCAACAGAGAAAATTGCATATTCAGCTGTCCTTAATACAACTTTTCGGTGAAGCCAATGACTTGTATCTTACTTTCCAATGTATTTCGAACTTTAGTTGTACAATGTGCTGATTTCTTCCACATGATTGGAAAACTTCCACTATGAAGAGATCTTAATTTAGAATGGAGTGGTATCCAAGTTACACTAAAATATGCATCGAAGACTGAAGTACAGTGAATTTATTAGATTATATATGTTGAATTTTGATCTGGTTGCCTTGTTTATCAGCCAATCTTTGCATTTCTGTGGCCTCTCATAGCTAATGATACACCTCAGGAGCTGGTCTAGCTTTGAGTAAAATCACCCACCTATAATACGGCTGCAAAAATTAACCACTAATTGCCTTATGCATATTATGTTGACTACTCTGTTAGTTTACTATCGTTTGTCTTTTTATCCAAGTCTGATTATTTAAAAAACTCATCTGCTTGTTTCTTTGGATTATTACTTGTTACTCTAAAATGTTGATGTATGATCACCAATCACTCCCAAAACCTTAGTCTTTGTGAATTAATCTTGTATGATTTATACTTCGTATCTTTAAACATGAATTTGTTGTTAATAGCTTATTTAGCTTTTATTTCATATCCCCTTGAAACATAAGTTTTCTGGACGACCACATATCTTCAAAACAAAAGGGCCTGTAAGATTCAGTTCCAAAGAGCATACATATGTTTTATTGTTTATCCATCAACATTTATGTACATCAACACTTGGCATTTGGGCAATCTTTTTGGAAGGAAACCCCTTGCTCAATTGTTCTTTATGGTGTTAAGACATTAAGTTGCCATAGGTAGTGTTCCTTCAGAATGCTGTCAGTCTTCCAAAACTCATTTAGGCTTTCTGAATAGAGAGTTCAGCTTCCAGCTTTCCAGGTAATGTTCCTGCTGCCGTGCACTACTTACATTGACAACTATCTGAACAATTCAAGAAGTTTGTCCAGTGATGGATCTTTTACAAATATATGGTGTAATATCATTATGTTATCTTCTCCTCTGTCTATTAATAATATAGTGTTAGACTCCTGTATTTGATGTTGTTCTGGTCAGGCCCTTTTTCTTCTTTTTACTTGTTTTCCTCTGTTGTGTACTTGTGTGTGCCATGTTGTATATTCTGATATATTGGCAAATAATTTGTTTGCAGCTTATGGCAAATATTGAGGAGTCTGTTGGTGTTGGGAAAGGAACCCCTAAAATGTATGCAACCATTGATCTTGAAAAGGCTAGAGTTGGGAGAACTAGAATGATAGAAAATGAACCTTCTAACCCCAGATGGTATGAGTCATTTCATATATATTGTGCTCATTTGGCTTCAGATATTATTTTCACTGTGAAAGATGATAATCCCATTGGGGCGACATTGATTGGAAGAGCATATGTACCTGTCGAGGAAATCATTGAAGGGGAAGAAGTTGACAAATGGGTTGAAATTTGTGATAAAGAGAAGAACCCTCTAGATAGTGGTGCTAAAATTCATGTGAAGCTGCAATTCTTTAAGGTTACCCAAGAGAAGAGTTTCAATCATGGTATTAGAAATGGAAAATATCCTGGAGTTCCATACACCTTTTTCCCACAAAGGAAAGGATGTAAAGTCTCTCTGTACCAGGATGCCCATATCCCGGATAATTTTATTCCAAAGATACCTCTTGCGGGTGGAAAGTATTATGAGCCTCACAGGTGCTGGGAAGATATCTTTGATGCAATTACTAATGCAAAACACCTGATTTACATAACTGGATGGTCTGTATACACTGAGATATTACTGGTAAGGGATTCAAGGAGGCCAAAGTCTGGTGGTGACATTACCATTGGCGAGCTGCTTAAGAAGAAGGCAAATGAAGGTGTGAGGGTCTGTATGCTTGTGTGGGATGACCGAACATCTGTTGGTTTATTGAAGAAGGATGGTTTGATGGCAACACATGATCAAGAAACTGAGGAATACTTCCGTGATTCTGAGGTACATTGTGTCCTGTGCCCTCGCAATCCTGATAATGGTGGAAGCATGGTTCAGGATCTACAGATTTCTACTATGTTTACTCATCACCAGAAGATTGTTGCGGTTGACAGTGCAATGCCTGGAGGAGGGTCAGAGCAGAGGAGGATTGTAAGTTTTGTTGGGGGTATTGATCTTTGTGATGGGAGGTATGATACTCCCTTCCATTCACTATTCAGGACACTTGACACTGCACATCATGACGATTTCCATCAACCTAACTTTCCTGATGGTGCAATTACAAAAGGTGGGCCTAGGGAACCTTGGCACGACATTCACTCTCGTCTTGAAGGACCTATTGCTTGGGATGTCTTGTTCAATTTTGAACAGAGATGGAGAAAGCAGGGTGGGAAAGATGTACTAATCCCACTGAGGGAACTTGATGATATTATACCTCCCTCACCAGTGACTTTCCCTGATGACCCTGAGACTTGGAATGTTCAGCTGTTTAGATCAATTGACGGTGGTGCTGCTTTTGGTTTCCCTGACACACCTGAAGAGGCAGCCAAAGCAGGACTTATAAGTGGTAAGGATAATATTATTGATCGAAGCATCCAGGATGCTTATATCCATGCAATTCGCCGAGCTAGAAATTTCATATACATTGAAAATCAATATTTCCTTGGAAGCTCATTTGCATGGGAGCAATCAGATGATATCCAGAATGAGGAAATTGGTGCCTTACATCTGATCCCCAAGGAACTCTCCTTAAAGATAGTTAACAAGATTGAAGCTGGTGAGAGGTTCACTGTTTACATAGTTCTTCCAATGTGGCCAGAGGGAATGCCGGAAAGTGGATCAGTTCAGGCTATATTAGACTGGCAAAGGAGGACAATGACAATGATGTATAAAGATATTATTGATGCTCTGCGGAAGCAGGGTAGCGATGAGGATCCTAGGAACTATCTGACGTTCTTCTGCTTGGCCAACCGGGAGATGAAGAGGAGCGGTGAATATGAACCTTCAGAACAGCCTGAGCCTGACTCTGACTATGAAAGAGCTCAGCAGAACCGACGATTTATGATTTATGTCCATTCAAAAATGATGATTGGTATGCTCTTCACATCTATTTTCTTCTTTGTTTTACCACCCCCCTCGCCCCCAACACCCCCCCCCCCCCCCCACCCTTCCCCTCTTCTCTTATTACATTACCACAGTTCAACCCTTGGACATTTATTCCACCAAAAAAGGTAGAATGTCGATTATCACTCTCCTGTACGTCTGTACAACCATTGCACTTTAATTTATGGATATTATAGTTTAATTAGATGATTATTTTCTATAGAAACCTCATAGCTAAAAACCTTTCAAACTGTCTGTGGAACTAGTTTCTGACTGCTACTTATATGCTGTGTTAAAATCTGTAGTTGATGATGAATACATTATTGTTGGATCTGCCAATATCAACCAAAGATCAATGGATGGTGCAAGGGATTCCGAAATAGCCATGGGGGCCTACCAACCATACCACTTGGCAACTAGGAACAAACGAGCACAGGGTCAAATTCATGGATTCCGAATGGCCCTGTGGTATGAGCACCTTGGCATGCTTGATGACACTTTCAATCAGCCTGAAAGCAGCGAATGCGCTGAAAAGGTAAACCGAGCTGCAGATAAATACTGGGATCTTTATTCAAGCGAATCTCTTGAGCGTGATTTGCCTGGTCACCTGCTTCGCTACCCTATTGGTATATCTAGTGAAGGAGATGTCACAGAGTTCCCAGGCTCTGAATTCTTCCCTGATACCAAAGCACGAGTGCTTGGTACTAAATCTGACTATCTTCCACCAATCTTGACTACTTAAGCTAATCCATTCTGAGAGGTAACAACCCTTTTACTCATGCTATTGTGAAACATACCGGGATTAGGCATAATAATAAAGCTGTGTTTTTTAGTAGGCTGGTAATTCAAACTTTCTACTGGTGTATTCAGGTTTTCACAAGGAGTTTTATTTTCATTTTCCAATGATGTTGGTAGTTACCAAATCTTTGTTTGAGTCGACTTGCCTTCGTAACAGATCTCTAAGATTGTTAACTATAGAATCTGTATAGGCTATCGACGTATGTACTTTGTTGTGAAGTTTTTCCCCATTTTGACTTATTTATACTAAGATGAGGCAACAGGCTATAGTTCATTAGCTCGTGCTTTGATTATGGATTCAGACAGTTGTTTCAGTTTGCATCAGTGTTGTTCTGCATTTGAAAAGCATCTGTATCATTTTGGAGTTAGTTTTTCGGTAAATCTTGAGGCTCGTTAACATTAAATCAAGCTATTGTGGTTATGGTGATTGATGTCTTGATGATTCATGGTCATACATGGCAAATATTCTCCATGTGTTTAGAATTAATAATCACATATTCTTTTAGAGTTTCTGGTAACTTATAACAGTCACCTTTTTCTAATCATAATTTTGAAATAAGAACTACTCCTAACTGTAAAGATTGTATTATTACTAGAATAATATAAATCAACCATAAAAAGTTGTGTTTTGTGGAACTATTCTAAAGTCTGTACGAAGTAGAAAGTACTCTTTATCACTTAGATCAACTTTTATATGTGGCTGACTACACTGTGTGGCCAACCATTATAAGGGTTATTTTGTTAGTGCTATACGGGTTACTTGGCCAGGGATTACTCGGTCGGTCAGGGATTACTCGGTCTGGGTTACTTACTCGGTCTGGGTTACTCACTCGGTCAAGGGTTACTAAGTCGGCTAAGGGTTACTCGATCAGTCAGGGGTTATTTGGTGTGTCAGCTGGCCACACAGTGTGGCCAATCGCACACAAAAGTTGCTATTAGAACATGACCCCTAAAATTGGAATTATACTTGGTTAATCCAAACTTTGGATTGATTTAATTAAGATGTTGATTTGAAGTTTGGATTTATGCTATGCATCAATATTAATCTCACATAAGAATTATTTCATTTCAGCATGATGTTTCAATTATACTTTTATTTTTTTAATTTAGTAATTCAAACGAGGTTAACTTAAAATAATATTAGGCTTCGTTTTACAAAATAACATGCTTCACTAATGAAGATGCTCAGTTATGTCTCATTTGCTCGTATACTCAACAAGACTATGGATGAGGAATGTCCGTAAGTTATCAAGGACGTAATTAGTACTAATGTAATCTTACAAGAAATGTTGCTTTTGATAGTTACGTGGTCGACTATAATCGATCTAGGATGTGCAATCTATGATCGAATTTGTGCATCACATTATATTAGGCCTAAAATTTGAAATTAACACAAACCCTCCAAAATTTGGAGAGTTAGATAGTTAGGAAAGCAATAGCCTGAAGTGTGTTTTGGAGTCCAATCCAATGAATCAACAAATAAAAATCAACCATTCATAATATGTTTCACTTTCGGTCTATTTTTTGGACCACATAAAATTTCTAATAATTGATACAAAGCCAAATTTTATGATAACTAGTAAACCTAATTAAGCCAATGGATTCTTAGATATTTTAGCGACAGGTGGCACTCTAAGATCTCTCCATTTGGCACTACGACACTCGAAAACCGAACAAGAAGTTGACAGTTGTTAATCTCCTTCTGTTGTTCTAAACTTTGTAACTGGTGGTGTAGGATGATACGTGATTAGCTTACTTTGGATTTGTTTGGTAACGTCATAACGTGTTTGGCTTTGGTGTTCCTGCTATTAGCTTTCGCAGTTTATATCCTCTTGGTGCAAAAATATCGATCGTAACATAACATAGCAAAAATGTTAACAAAAAATTAACAAAGATCAACGAAAATCAATAGACAAGAGCAAATAGAGTATACATGGTTTACTGAGACGAGTAAAATACGTCCACTAATAGCACGATAGGCGAGAAAAGAAATATATGGATATTAAGGGTAGTACCGATTACATAGTACTCCGTAGTAGCTAGGTTTCATAGTGAGTTTATATAGTGCTTCTAAAAAAAATCCGAAATATAGGCTCATAGATGTGTAGCCAACATAACAAACCCTGTAATGATTGTCTGAATGGGGTTAAGTGATTCAATATATAAACTAACTAAAAACGTTAGAATTCAGAAAATAAATAAAAGATCAGTGAAAATTCACAATAATTATGTAAATTCGAAAAATTGTACATTAATAACCCAAATACATTAAAAAAAAATTTAAAAAAAAAATGGAAGTCAATGAAAATGGTCACATCAAAAGTAAAGCTCGGAGCCCTACTAATTTAATAAACTACATTACAAGGTGGGAATATTCGAGGGTTGACCACTTGGATAAGTATACTCCATTAACATTTAGGTTGGAAAATTTAGAAAATAAGTACAAGAAAAGTTTGGACGTACATGTGAGATAGTAGTTGATGATTTTGCAACTTGGGCATAGAGATTCATTTCATACGTGTAGTGATGGTCAAATGATCGGACAAATATCCCGTGTTTAGCATTTGATTGATCGTTGGGGTCATTAAACTTTAATTGGTCCATGAGAAAAAAGCATTAGATAGGAGAACAACTAATCTAATTGATTAAATTAAGGTTGGATCAAGATTTTTCATATTTAGAATGGTTTCAGTCTAAACATCTTAAATTGAGGAAGTAGAGTATGAAAATCTCACCTTAAAAGTATGTCGAATAATAACACGTAATTTGTTCCACTACTTACCTTCAAAAATCAAACCGAAAAAGCAAGATTCCTAACAACTAAACCATTTAATAATTCATCAAATGAATACTAAGATATACTCCAAATCATATAACAACAAGTCAATAACCTACAACCCAAAATCCTAACTAGAAAATATCACTTAAATTCATGAAAAAAACAAAGGAAAGACACATGCAACTTCACATGGTAGTCCACCACGAACAGCTCAAAAATGTTACTACTAAGTACTGAAGCTTCACTGTATCTTAGTTTGTTTTTGTTTTCCTACTATTTTATTTGTACTTCCAACTTCCGAGTTCAATTGGTTACAAGTTCAAGTTGTAATAATATTTATTGTTGCAAGATGTAGTTGCTCGTGGACGCTTCAACCGACGATGTAACTGCCGCCTTACCCTACTTGAAAGCCAAACCAATGACCTCTATTTGACCCTTTCCTGCTACTTCTGTCCTCACATACTCTCAACTTGTCCCTCTCCCTACTAAATCTACTCCAACAAGTCGGTGACGGGTCTAGAAATCATCTTTTATTCGGGATAAATTATAACGCAATTTTAACTTTTTTTTATTATTTATAATTAGAATAGTAACTTTGATTATATATCTTTATATATTAATACATATGTATTTTCATTTTTTATGATTTACGATCAAACATATAAGTTGACAAAGCATGTTTGTATAAATTGTATTAGTTGTTCATAAAAATAGATATACAGAATATTATTTAGTCAAAACTAAATAAAATGAGGTGAATAGGGTGAAAGTTTTAAGGTTTGTTAGCTTAATACAGAGTATTATATTCGTTTGAATCGTTTCTTATTAGTTGTAATAAAAGAGTATTATTTTTGAGACATAGAAAATTTCCTTTGTTACAATTAATAAAAAACGGAATGCTAGAATTTTCAAAATTGTATAATTAAGATTTTTATAAAAAAAAAAAATTATGAGTGCAATTAAGATGAGTCGTTTGACCCAGGCCACTCTTGACTATAAAAAAAATAGATTCGCCACCCCTATCGCTTGATTCAACATTAGACAATTCTCATCCATAAAATTCTCACTAAAATATCAGAGTACCTAATTACATGACGATTACAATGTAATTGTAGTTTTTATTGTCATATGATTCATGTCCTTTGCTATATATTTTATTGTAAACTTAGGAAATCTTATTGCTTTAGTTGATATAATTTTACATAGCTAACGAATATACGTACTCTATGTAGATTATTCTAGTATGGGGAATGCTTAGCTACATAGATTTTGCATAAAGCTAAAGTTATTGTTAGTGTATAAGATTGACTAGAATCACATAAATTAAAGTATGAACGGATAATATAGTATTTAATCACACACTTTAGACTTTAGAGTGGAATAATTTACTTTTAATTCCCATGGTAGAGTTCTTTGCACGTCTAATTGCTTGTAGAATTTGATAATTTTTTAGTCATCTTAAACCCTTCATAATAGAGATAACGGGAGCCAACGACGACGTGACCACTTATTAATAATGATTTTAATAAATATATTGATGTATGGAATATGGATGCATTTTACACACCTTATTTTTTTTTGGTGTAAATTGCAACACTTCTTGTTTTACAATTACTTAAATGGCTACATTATTTTAATCATTAATATCTTCAACCACCAATATGTAAAAATTATACGAGTAACATTTTGATATTATAAAAGTATTTATAAATTGAGGCAAATACAACAAGATTCTACATGACAAAATATTTCTGTAATTATAAATCATCAAACATAGTCTAAATAGAGTACTATACGGCATATACGAATAGTAACTAAGTCAAAGTGTTGCAACTTGAAAGTAAATAAAATCGAAGGAAGTATGACATTAGACTGGTTAGGCCGGTTCTTGGCGTAACATGATTCAACGAGGGAAAAAATAGTAAGGACATTAGGTAGACACATAACTACGTGTTATTGTATGTGCCAAGCCGTCTAATAATACATGAGATTAGCATGGGATGATCTAATTTTTATATGAATGTAATATATGATATAGATTAGGTCTTAATTTTGAGAGAAGACGGGCCTAATTACATTCATATATAGCTGTCTTTAATATCTTAATAATGAGCACACACAAAATTAAGAGAAAAGCAAAAGAAACATCAATCCTTTCATTTGTTTTATATGGAAAGATCATTCACATTGAAAGTTAACGGTTCATGTGGTTGCCGGTAATAACTGAAAATTTTACTTGTATGAAATCTACTATAATGTATTAATGATTATATAGTTCATAATTGACATATTTTTTCCAACTAATTAATTATATTACTTTATTAATGGTATTAAATATTATTATCAATATTTTTTTGATTTATCAAATTTTTAGTTTCATTTATGTAATTTTTATTCTTATTTTATAGTTTCTCAAAAAAATATTTATTTTATGTTGGATTAAAATTTTCAAAATTTATATTTACATTGTAGAAATCATAAGACTAATTGTGGTCATTTTATAACATGAAAATATGAACCAATCATATTATATATATTAAAATAATATGATAATCATTTTTCAAATAACCGCTGTAAAATCATCCGGTAATAAAATATGGTC